CTCCAGCTTCGCCAAGCAGGCGCTGTCCCAGGCCCAGAAGTCCATCGACCGGGTCCTGGACATTCAGGACGAGGAGCCGGGAACCTGGGCCGACACCATTCCCTACGGGGACCCGGGTGAGGCGCGCGCCGGGGCCGGCGGGCTGGGAGGTCGGGGTCCCGCCGCCCCGAGAGTCCCCTGGGCAGTCCTGCTGCGGAGCGGGGGGTACCCCGGCCGGGGCCCTGCGCGGCCCGCGTGCCAGCCCGCCCTGCCCCTGCCCTTGCCCGGGGACCGGCCTTCCCCCGCCCGCGGCGCTGGAGCCCGCCGGGACCCATCTCAGCCGACCAGGCTCTCGGCTTGCCCCCTCTGCCCCCAGCCCTTCTCCGGAGGACCCAGCTGGGCCTCTGGGATCCTCGTGTCACTGCACCTTATGAGCAATGTGAAGGAGGAGAGGGAGAAAAACAGCTCACACCGGAGGAGCGCTCTGCCTCCTAGGGCCCAAGTTTGTTTGGATAGCATCAGAACGACTCCTTGTTTTATTTGCCAAATTGGAAAGTGAGGGGTGGCCAAGTTGACACTTGTTTGAGGTATCACCGCAGAATATACCGGAGGTATTGCCAGTAGAATGTGTGGTCCAAGGAGTTTTAAGTTCTGCCACATTTCTGCAGAGACACGTCTGTCACTCCACGGAAATCCTTCAGAACCTAAACGTTGCTCTTGTCTTTTTAAGTGTGAGGAATTGTCTAGTATTTTGATGTGTACAAACCATGGCAGATTTAGGGGAATATACTACCTTTGGATGGAAAGACTAAAGCTGTTGACTCTGGTTTCTGTTTTTAGTGTTCATCGTTGCAAATTAAGGCTTTCTCATTTTATGATGTGCTGGTTCATGTTTGTATGTCGTGATCTTAGTACTTTTCAAAGTACTAAGTTGTGCGATCTTGCTTGAGTCGCTCCATTTGGCTTTTTCTCTTGGACCCTACATTTTGAACCATTAAGTTTTAGATCACTGGTTTCTAAGAAGTCTTGGGCTTTGAATGTATTATATAGGTTATTTTTAAAACCAGGTTATCCATACTAGTCATGTTCACCTATCACTTGTGTCCTAGATGGCAAAGAGGGCCATAGTCTTCAGACTGGAGTAGGTTAAATGGAAGCCAGATAACTCATAGGATGGTTATGCATTAGGATGATGAACTAATCAGTAGATTCTGTTTGCTAGTTCATTTGCATTTTAACTTTGGCCTTTTGTTTGCGACTTTTCAATGGAGGTAAAACTATTGTCAAACTGAACTCATATGAAAGCAGGCTATTAGGGCTGAAAAATTGATAGCTAGTTCTTAGTTATTTGTGTTCTTTACGTCACTTCTAATTGTGCAGGATTTATAACCATTCTGCCCAGTCATTTTTTTAATTTAAAAAAATTAACATTTTACTGAACATTACCTTTTTTTTATCATCAGGTTATTAGCAGTTGCTATTTCTATGACTGTTGTGATAATAACTTTTCCCCCCAGAAGATAGTTTTTTTTCCTCTGTACTTTTAAGAACTCCCAGTGTCAATTACTTTTAAAACATTTTATTTGCTTATTTACTTATTTTTGCTGATCCCAGGGCTTGAACTCAGGGCCTGGCCCTGGCCCTGAGTTTTTTTTGCTCAGGGCTAGCACTCCACCACTTGAGCCACAGCACCATTTTCCTGCCCAGGCTGGCTTTGAACTATGATCCTCAGATCTCAGCCTCCTGAGTAGCTAGGATTACAAGTATGAACCTGTGTCATCTACTTTTATACCAAAAGAGCAGTTCTAAAAATGCACATTTCTGAAATTTACAATGACCTTATATAGCTGATGGCACAATTTAGAAAATGGAAACAAATATAAAAGAACAAAACTTTCTCCTCAAGTAGGTTTTGGAGAGTGGGACTTGAAAATTAGGCTTATCATTAAGTAGATGCAAATGCATTTGCTCACTAGATCTTACTGTTCCCATCAGTTTAACTTGATCTTCGGAAAAGAACACTTGTTTCTAGTATCTTGTGATACAGGTTTTGAGCATTGCCCTCTGTTTATCTTATGTTTTATTATTTTGTGTTATAAGAATGTAATTAGCAGGAAACTGACCGAACAAGTCATTTTTATGTGGTGGCACATGACCTGTTAGTAAGGGTGCTGCCAGTTTTTGTGAGATGAGTCATATGTATCTTGACCTTAACGTGGGTTATAAGACACATACCATTACATTCATAATTTGTTGTAGGAGGAAATAACATACTTGTTTCTGCTAGGCCAGGCCAAGACTAGCCTTTTATCTATGCTCCTCTCAGGCAGGACTTCAACTAGAATTAACCTGGTACTAACATTACAGTCAGCAAGGTAAATTACAGGTTGTATTTTCCCCATTTTCTTACTTTCCCTATTTTATATTTATATTGATTCATAGTGATGGTTTTATATGTGTGTGTGTGTGTATTATATATATATATGTATATATATATATATAATTTTAATTTTTTTGTCAAAGGCTTAAGTCCCCCGGTCAGTGGAGGATGGGATACTTCCACCTGGGGATTGAAATCAAACACTGAACCACAGAGTCCACCGACGGCTTCTCCTAAAGCCATCACAAAGCCGGTGAGAAGGACTGTAGTAGATGAATCTGAAAATTTCTTCAGTGCCTTTCTCTCTCCAACGGATGTCCAGACTATTCAGAACAGTCCGGTGGTATCAAAGCCTCCAGCTAAATCACAACGACCGGAAGAAGAAGTGAAAAGCACTTTACAAGAATCCTTACTCTCTGGACAGTCAGAAGTTACAGAGACAGCTGAGTCAGAAGTGAGAGACCCTGTGTGTGTACCAGGGAAAACTGTGGCAGTGGAGTCATCACCTCAAACTGAAGGCAAGCAAGAAGAAACTGTTGATAAAGAGTCTGAAATGAAGGTGCCTGCTATATGCTTGAAGGTGTCTGAGAATGTGATTAAGGCAAAAACAGCTTCAGAAAGTGTGTCTAGCATGTCTACGCAGTCTCTCACAGCAGAAACAAAGGACATGGCTTTGGAAGCTAAGGAGCAGAAACATGAAGACAGACAGAGCAACACACCCTCTCCTCCTGCTAGTACCTTCTCCTCGGGTACTTCTACCACCAGTGATATTGAAGTTTTAGATCATGAAAGTGTAATAAGCGAGAGCTCAGCAAGTTCAAGACAGGAGACTACAGATGCCAAATCAAGTCTTCACCTGATGCAGACGTCTTTTCAGCTTCTCTCTGCATCTGCTTGTCCTGAGTATAATCGTTTAGATGATTTCCAAAAGCTCAACGAGAGTTGCTGCTCATCTGATGCTTTTGAAAGAATAGACTCATTTAGTGTACAGTCATTAGATAGCCGGAGTGTCAGCGAAATCAATTCAGATGATGAGCTGTCAGGCAAGGGATATGCTTTAGTGCCTATTATAGTTAATTCTTCCACTCCAAAGACTAAAATAATTGACTCTATTGAGGGAAAAGCTGAAGAAGTAGTAAATGATGAAACAGTTATACCCACTGAAGAAGCAGAAATGGAGGAAAGTGGACGCAGCACCACACCTGTTAACTGTGAACAGCCAGATACGCCAGTTGAACAGCCAGATACTCTGGTTTCTTCTGTGCCTACAACTGAAGGATGTAATACTGGCTTAGATGAGCTATCTGAGCAGCATGAAGTTGCAGAAAGCCAGCCAGAAGTACTTTCTGAGAAGGAAGATGCTTGCAAGGTAACTGTACAGAATAGAAAAATGTTTTCATTGATGCATAGTGACTTGTACTGAATTAAAAAGCTAGATCTGGGGGCTGGGAAGGTGGCTTAGTGGTAGAGTACTTGCCTTGCATGCATCATGAGGCCCTGGGTTTGATTCCTGAACACCACATAAGCAGAAAAAGCTGAAAGTGGTGCTGTGACTCAAGTGGTAGGGCACTAGCCTTGAACTGAAGACCTGAGGGACAGCGTCCAGGCCCAGAATTCAAGCCCCATGACCAGCGGAAAAAAAAAAAAAAGATCTTTTGGGGCTGAATATGTGGCTCAAGCAGCCGAGTACCTAACTTGCAAGTGCAGACTCCTGACTTCAAACCCCAGTACTGGGAGAAAATAAAAAGAGGGAAAGGTCTTTTGTCACTTCATTGTAGCAGTATTTGATGGTATAGCAGTGTACCAGTTAATTATTAAATAATTTCGAGTATCTGAAGTTTCTCAAAGCTAACCATGGCAGATGTGTTTGCAATATAACCATAAATGTTTCCATTTTACATCTTTATTCTTTTTTGTTAGTCATGGGGCTTAAACTCTGGTCCTGAATGCTGTCCCTCAGCTCTTCAGCTCAAGGCTAGTGCTCTACCACTTGAGCTACAGCGCCACTTCCAGTTTTCTGGTGGTTATTGGAGATAAGAGTTTCATGGCTTTTCTTGCCCGGGCTGGCTTTGAACTGAGATCCTCAGATCTCTGCCTCTTGAGTAGCTAGGATTACAGGTGTGAGCTACCAGCGCCCGGCTATGTCTTTATTATTGAACTTTTAGCTTTTTAAAAAAGGCCATGCAACTACAATTGGTAATAGCACCATGCTAAAAAATACATAGTGGCACTTTCTTAAAAACCAACTTTAATTATTGTCAGTACTTAAGTGATCTCTCAACAGTATATCACTGCTTCAGTAGAATTTAAGTAATAAAATATGGTTAGAATTACTTTTTGTACTTACACTGATATATTCTGGGGAAATTTTAAAAATACATTCCTGTAGGTTTTCTAAAATTATTTTTTATTTTTTAAAATTATTTTTAAATGTGGTATATAAAAGTTACATTTTTGGCTTAAGGAATAATATAGACTATAGATACATGCATTTATATCTACCACCCAGCTAAGAACATAATCAGAGGCTGAAGGCCCTTTTTGCCTTGTTTTGACTGCATCTATTTCCTTCTCTTTTGGCGGATTTACAGACCATCCCAGATTTTGCTATTGAAAATAGCAAAGCTAGTGTGTTCTTACACATGTTACCTGTTGAATTTATCAACAAGTTTTCCCTCCAAGGTGTACCTAGAACCAGCATTTTCTGCATCACGGGTCATGTAGATGTTCAACTTGATCTGCCCCTGTGTCTTCCAGAGCAAGCAGTAGAGCAGTGTGTACTCCATCATCGTGGTTGCTGCCCTGTGAGCACTGTGTTCCCATATTGTTTTCATTGTTCCATGAAATCATGTTTTATTTATTCCCATGACTGGGTTCCTTTACAAATCATCACCTACATGTACAAATTGTCTTTTTTGAAACTTAAAACATTTTGGCTTCTTGTGTTTTCTTCATCCAGACCATTGAATTTCTGAATGAGAAACTGGAAAAAAGGGAGGCTCAGTTATTATCTCTTAGTAAAGAAAAAGCACTTTTAGAAGAAGCTTATGATAACCTGAAAGAGTAAGTATTCTACAAATGTGAATAAGGTTATGCATAACGTGGAAGTCTATGTACACTTTGTGGTTTTCAAGAATGTTTTTGAGGTGCTCATGGATCATGCTTGTAATTCTTGCTATTCAGGAGTCTAGGACCAGGAGAATCCTGGTTCAAAACCTGGGCAGAAAAGTTTGCTATACTACATCTCCAAAATAACCAATAAAAAGCCAGGCTAGATGTGTGGCTCAAGCAGTAGAGTTCTAGCTGAGTAAGGGTGAGGCCCTGAATTCAAATCCCAGTACCAGTAAAAAGAAAGAAAAAAAATGGTTTTGAGCCCACACCTTTAAACCTAGTTATTAACTAGTCTCAGATTGGGAGAATTGTGGTTCAAGGCCAGCCTTATCACAAACTTTGTGAGACTTCGACTCACCAGAAAATGCTAAAAATGCTAGGTATGGTGGTATATAGCTATCATCCTTGTTACAGGATGGGTGGGGAGGTAAACATAAATAGGAAGACTGTAGTCTAGGCCAGGCAAACAGCAAAATCCTATATCAAAAATAACTGAAGCAAAAAGGCTGGGACGTGGCTTGAGAGATAGCCTGCCTAGCAAGTATGAAGTCCTAAGTTAAGAACACAGTACTGGACTGGGAAGGTGGCTCAGTGGTAGAGTGCTTGCCTTGCATGCATGAGGTCCTAGGTTCTATTCCTCAGCACCACATAAACAGAAAAAGCTGGAAATGGCGCTGTGGCTCAAGTGGTGGAGCGCTAGCTTTGAGCTGAAGAGCTGAGGGACAGTACCCAGGCCCAGAGTTCAGGCCCCATAAAAAAAAAAAAAAAAAGAATGTACTATCATTAAAGAAAAAAAAAGTTTTTGAAATTGAAATGTTCTGAAATTTAATTTCTTTATAATAACAAAACCAAATACCATTTCAGGTATAAACTTACTTAAAGCTTATTTCGATCCTCAAATTATCTTTACCATATTACTTTGGCATTGAATACACTTTTTTTTCTTTCTTTCTTTTTTTAACAGTACTGGAGTTTGAACTTGCTAGGTAAGGGCTGTATCACTTTAGTCATTTCCTTACTCCTACTTTTGACATTGAAACATATTTTGTAAAAACAGTAAGTTCTTTCCAGTTGTTACTAATAATCTTTTTTTTGGGGGGGGGTTGTCGGTCGTGGGGCTTGAACTCTGGGCCTGGGCACTGTCCCTGTGCTCTTCAGCTCAAGGCAAGTGCTCTGCCACTTGAGCCACAGCACCACTTCCGGTTTTCTAGCGGTTTATTGGAGATAAGAATCTCACGAACTTTCCTGCCCGGACTGGCTTTGAACCACAATCCTCAGATCTCAGCCTCCTGAGTAGCTAGGATTACAGGCGTGAGCCACTGGTGCCCGGCTGCTAATAATCTTTTAATATTAGAGGTATAAAATGTTGTCTCAAGAAAACTGATAGTTAAAAACATACTAGTTTTGTTTGTATTAAGGATAGATTAGGGAAGTGTGACACAAGATTTAGAATTGAAATATTTACCTTTTTCTTAGTTTTGCACATCAAGTGTTGTTGATACTTTCACTTTCTAGTGAGTTTTATTTGATATTTTAAAATGTGGTATATGGCTGGGTATGTGGCTCAATAGTAGAACATTTCTTCGGATAGGATGTTGCCAACCCTGGGATCAATCTCTAACACTGAATGAATGAATTACTCAAGTAAATACATACATAAATAAAAGATACATTTTTATCTACAAGTTAATAGGCTGGCTTTATGTGGTGGTTCATACCTGTAACCCCTCAGCAAGAGAGGCAGAAAAATCATGAATGCAAGGCTAGTCTCACCTATATAAAAGCTGGATACAGTGACTCATACCTTTAAACCTAGCTGTTCAGATGGCTGAGATCAAGAGGATCATGGTTCTAACCCAGCCAGGACAAAAAGTTCATGAAAATGAAAAATGGTGGGCACGGTGATATACATCTGTCATTCCAGCTATGGAAGGAAGCATAAATCCTGGTAAAATGCAAGATCCTTCTCAGAAGTAACCAAGGCAAAAAGGGTTGCATATATGACTAAAGTGACAAAGTGCCTGCTTAGCATATGCAAAATCACGAGTTCAAACCACCACCACCACCACCAACAACAACAAAAAAAGTCGTCTGGGTACCAGTGCATGGAATCCTAACTACTGGCTATTTGGGAAGCTGAAATTGTTGAGATCATAGTTTGAGGCCAGCCTGGGCAGAAGATAGTACTCAAGACCCCAGTGGTGTCAGAGTCTGGGGTTTTGTAGCTACCAGGAAGCCTAACATAAGTGAATTGTACCCTGATACTTTTCTGGGCAGGAAGTAAAATCCTGTCTTAAAAATAACAAGCCAAAATCAGAGCTGAAGGCAAAGTTCAAAGCCCTCGTACCACTGAAACAGAAAAGTTAACAGACCTAAAACTGATCTATTTCATTATGGTTTATACTGAAGAAAATGTTATTTTGAGAATTGAACTTACCTTGGTACCCTTGGAATAAATAAACAGTATATCTTCATTCCCAAATAATTTCAATTTAGTGAAATGTTCAGAGTCAAAGAAGAAAGCAGCAGCATTTCTTCCTTGAAAGATGAGTTTACTCAGCGGATTGCAGAAGCAGAAAAGAAAGTACAGCTCGCCTGCAAAGAGAGAGATGCTGCTAAAAAGGTAATTATTATTCAACATAAGTTCCACAAAGGGCATAGGAAGGTGGCTCAGTGGTAGAACGCTTGCTTTGCATGCATGAGGCCCTGGGTTCGATTCCTCAGCACCACATAAGCAGAAAAAGCCAGAAGTGGCATTGTGGCTCAAATGGTAGAGCGCTAGCCTGGAGCTGAAGAGCTGAGGAACAGTGCCCAGGCCCAGAGTTCAGAGTTCACAACCGGCAAAAAAAAAAAAAAAAAAAAAAAAATCCACAGAGAAAACAGTTTGCTGAATGCCTCCATCAGATTTCTATAATAAAAAAGTTAAGATTTTAAAAAGTGTTATTAAGTTTTAGATTTTTGATACATTTAAATTGGTAATTCATACTTATAATCTAAACAATTGTTAATTTGTATAATTACATATGAATCATTGCAAGATGTAAACAAAGAGCACTAGGGTAAGTTTTATAAATGATGTCTACCTGGTTCTGGTGGCTCACACCTAATCCTAGCTACTTAGGAGGTTATAGCCTGAGGATTGTGGTTGGAAAAGCCAGCCCCAGCAGCAAAGTCCCTGAGACTCTTGTCTCCAGTTAACCACCCAAATAGTCAGAAGTGGAGCTGTAGCTCAAGTGGTAGAGTGCTAGCCTTGAGTAGGAAAGCTCAGGAACAGCGCCTAGTCCCTGAGTTCAAACCATAGGATTGACACACAAAAAAACCCAAGCCAACAGAAATGATAACTCCACCAAAGTAGATAACACTCAATTTAAATGGTATAGTATGCATTTAAAAAATTATTACTTTATTTTTTTCATACCACTTCACACATATATACTAATTTATTCCAAAGCAATTTTAAAATATGAATTTTTAGGAATGATTTCCTTTTAAGAAGGATAGTTGGGCTGGGAAGTTGGCTCAGTGGTAGAGCGCTTGCCTTGCATGCCTGAGGCCCTGGGTTCGATTCCTCAGCACCACATAAGCAAAAAGAATAAAA